TCGACCATCCCATTGGCTTGAGGATGAAAAGCTGTGGTTTGATTGTGGATGATACCCAGCAAAAAGGACAGGGGCGCTTTGGTGTTTACTTATTCATCTTCTGAACCCTTTTCTGGTTTTTTTTATGATGGGGGAGAGAGGGGCTCGGTAAGGCTAGATTTGGTGATTTTTGTTATGATGATTAATTTAAGAATAATAGAGACTAACCATTTTTAGCCCTTTTTATTTACATGATTGAAATCATCAAAATAAGAAGTACTAAATCCTTTAAATAATAAAGCCTCATCCTTTGTTGATGATCCTGTTTAAACCACAAAAATCTTTATTTGAAAGAAAGACGACATTTATGTTCAGGTCTGAGACAGAATACGGCACTAAGGCTGGTATTCCCCAATCCTGTTGTTCTAAATCACAAGCTTGTGATCTGAGATCAACTTCAGATGATCCAGATAATATATTTAAGGTATGCACGTGCGATCATTTTTATATGAAGGAATTGTCGGATGTGATTTCAGGTGACCTACCATTTCAAGATGCAGGGTGTGTCCGATTCTCTACGGTACCTTTAAAACCCTGATATGATCAAAAATGTAGAATATGGTGGATATCTCAAGCATTCTAGATCAGACTAAGCCAGGGTAGAGTTGTGAATCGGACATGCTATACTCTATAAATAGAGAGTCACATGAAATAAATGAAAACATTAACTTAACATTAAGTTAATGTTAAGTTAACATTTTGTGTTACCCCGGAACGTAATTTATTACAGATTTCATAATCAATTATTAATTTTATTTCAATGTTCTTATAATATTAGCAGGTTTTGAAAATATCCAGAAAAATACGGTTTTTAAAAAATTTGATAGATTTGACTGTGATTTTAACTTTGAAATATTTATTTTCTAATAGATAAACACAATTAATCCTTTTAAAGAAAAGAACATTAATCGCCTCAAAATGTTTTGCAGATCAGCTGTTTTAGAAACTAGTTGGAAATTGGAGAAAAATTTTACAAAATTTGAGGGAAAAAATGAATCAAATGGTTTCTCTAGGTTGGATGCTATGAAGTGTTTGGAAAGAGTGTGGCAGATCGTTTAGAAGTTCTTATTCCAATACTTGCTGCTACCTTCGTCTTGCAGGTAATTAACCCTAATAAACAGGGGGTTGGGGGTAGAAGTGCTTATTCCAATACTTGCTGCTACCTTCGTCCTGCAGGTAATTAACCCTAATAAACAGGGGGTGGGGGTAGAAGTTCTTATTCCAATACTTGCTGCTACCTTCGTCCTGTAGGTAATTAACCCTAATAATAGGAAAGGGGGTGCTTATTTTCGAACATCTTGAAAGAATAACTGATATTTTTTGTGTTTATTTTGTAGAGTTTTAACAATTAATTTCACTGGACCAGAACTCCCACCAATAGGATTTAAAGAAAAATTCCAGTGCTACAAGTGACTGGTAAACTTAACTGCCAATTGTCTGAGTTGTTGTCACGTAATACGGACGTAGATAGATAATATTATCAATTGCATCTATTAAGAATTTAAAAAATTAAATTCAACTAATAATAGGAGCATGCCGTAGTTTCTTAGGTTCCTCTGGGATACCTTTGTTTTCAGATTGGTTGCGTATTTGCTGAATATGATCTTTTTAAGCCTACGATTTTTATTCAAAATTTTATATATAAAAATTTTCGTATAAATTTGACACAGTTTTTTTTTATCAATTTCTAGAGATAAAAAAATTAGGTAGAACTCTTATGGGTCTCGATCAACTCCTAAAATGCTTAGGTTTCAGCTTCTTTAATTTTTCCTATACAGTCCCTTTAAACAATCATAAACAAAAAATAGATTGTCTTTATAAAAGTCTTCTTATTTCTAGTTGTAAATATACCTGCATTTCACAAATTTATTTATTTTACTAAATTTTTAACTTTCCTTTGTTTAAAATTATTTTAATTATTAATATTTCAATTTTTAAAATCATTTTTGTTTTTTAACATTTCAAATGATTTTAATATTAAATAAGTCGTTTAATTATAAATGTTTAAAAATAATACAGACATCCAGCATGTTGATATGTAAATTTTTATATTAAAAATTAATGTTAGTTTAATGACGTTTTCAATAATTTTGATATTGAATAGATTATTAATCGACATATTAAAAATATAAAAAAGAAATGTCCAGATGTTTGTGATAGGAATTTTTTACTTCAAATCTAATTTATTTATCAGTTATTTAAAATGGTTTAAATATAGAAGAAAAAAGAATAATACAGAAAACTGAAGAAAACAGATGATGAAAGGGGGCGGGATCCAGTTTTTAGAATGGGAGGGTGGGGTACTTAGCAAAGGCAGGACTTGTTTTATATTTTTGATATTTAGGTTCTTGGTGTATGTTTTGCTTGCTGTCTGGCCAGATCTGTTCAAGTTGAGCATTGCGCTCAGGTAATAATTTTTTTATGAAAATATTAATTTACTTGAAATATTTTAGTCCTCCATTAAGTTTGATAGGAAATCATAAATATTAATGCATTATTTTAAGCGCAAACTAACAAGTTATAATTTAACTTTTTACTATTTAAAGAGTGTTTTTCCACACAAAGTTGGAAAACTATTACTTAATGGCTCATTTTTTAAATTGCCCAACTCAAACGATAAAATTATTATATTTTATTATAAAGATTTATTCACACACAAAGATATAAATACATATATAAATGGTGTAGTTTAAATTTGTTTAAATAAATTAAACTTTAAAAATATTTTTATTAAAAAGTTAGTAAATGCATAAAATTCGATTTGAACTGAATGAAGTTAAAAATACTTAATATGGAATATGGAATATGGAATACTTAATATGGAATATGGAATATGGAATACTTAATATGGAATATGGAATATGGAATATGGAATATGGAATATGGAATGCTTAATATGGAATATGGAATATGGAATATGGAATACTTAATATGGAATATGGAATATGAAAAAAAAACAATATAATAAGACAAAGTTTTATTTCAATGTTCAACGTCATTTTCAAGGGATTATTTGGGGATTAGTATGAACAATTATTATGCAATTAAAATCAAAAACAATCTTAAATTTTAAAAAAAATGTTTTAGAAATTTGATTAAACTTGAAAAATTTAAACTTATTTTTTTGGCAAAATGGAGCCATTTAAGAAGACAAAGCTCGATTCTGAATTCTTTATAAATTTGAATTCAAAAACCTTGACGGATAAAAAGTTAATCATTTAACCTATAATAATTTTATCCTTAAAACATTTTTTGCGAAAAAGATTAATTTAATGTTTCTTTTACTCTTTTTAAAGTAGAAAACCTTCTTAATTTATAATTTAACTTAATTTTAAAAAACTGTTTTGTTTAGATGCCGTACTAAGACTTGCCCGAGTGAGATAAAAGAAAATGGCGGAGAAAAACAAAGACATTACAACTGACTTTGCGAATTTTTTCCAATTAAAGATTGCGGATTTTAGCTGTTGTATTTGATGTATTTGATGTAAAATAGTTCAATTTTACTATGCTTTATCAAATCTTTGATCATAAGATTACAAAAAAAGAAAATTTAAGGTACTAGGTATGTAATTACTGTAGATCTAATTTCATATAGTTACCTTCCACTTGAAGAGTGGCATGACCTATTCATGTCACTCTTAAACTGGACAGTCACTTTAAAATTAGTCACTTCAGCCCCGTTAATATTAATACTTCAAGAAATACATCTTTTAACTTCTTAAATATTTTAACCAAGTACTCGGAGAAATCGAAAGAATTTATAAAATGTCGTCTTGATAATTTTTCAATGGTTTTTTTTAAACTTTAATACTTAAATCTCTGTAATAGTAATAATACAAATAGCCATAAATATGCGGAACAGTTTCATAGAACTTCGTATAATTATTCAATCAAAAAACTAGTTATCTTCAGCATTTCAATATCAGTAACAAAAGAAAACGACATTTTATAAATTCGTTCCATGTCTTCTAAGCTCTGGGTCAACCTGTTATATAATTAAATTTTTCAGATTTTTGAATTATTTTACGGATAAATTTGGAATCAATTTTGTCTACATAAATGTAGTTTTCCTATGTACACTTCATGTTTATATGTATTCAAGACTTTTCAGTACCTTGACTGATGTTTAGTTGTTATACAATATTTTTTCAATTAGGTATTACCATTTTTGCAGAAATATAAAATGTCGTCTTTTATTACACTTTTTAAATCTTAATTTCTTATGTTTATCGAATGGGTCTTAAATTTAATATCTCAACCTAAAAATGCTCTTATCTATCAATAGATATTTTTTTGATTCATCAACAAGTGAAATATTTTTGTGTTGATACTCTGTGTGTGTTCTGTGTATATAAAAGGACAAATAAACCATATGAATTTTTCCCTCAGTGTTTTTTTTTATTGCAAGTAACTACAGCTAGGGGAATAAAAGCTAACATATAAAATAGTTTCAAAAAATCTGCCAATTTTGTAACCGCATTTATGTAAAAGAGTACGAAAGCGGAATGTGTAGAAAATAAAGGAAAAATTAAAGCAATTGGTAGCAAAAGGGGCAACATTCAATTTTCAAAAGTTTTCAAATATGTTTAATTTAAATCATATATATATTGGATCATATTGTTAATTTATAATTCATATTATATTTTTTGGTTATTTCAACGTTTTAGAAATCAATTAAATGACGTCATGGGTATTCTAAATTTATAATGACGTCATATCTTTAAAAACATGTAATAGGAAGGAAAGTAGTGAAAATCTATATGAACATTAAAACTTGAAGTTGAAGAACATTTAAACAAATAATATCTTTATTTCAGGCCAAGTAAATAACTTTACACAAAACACGTTTTTATGAAGTCCAGGAAGAAATTATCATCATCTATTGGAGACCCCCTTTCATTGGAGAACCCCATGAATATCTCGTTGGAGACCGCAATTCTCCTTGGAAACCCCCCATATTTTCATCGGAGACGCGCCAGATTTTCATTGGGGACCTTTTATTTTTGTTGGAGACCCCATATTTTCGATGGTGACCCCAAGATTTTTTTGAATATCCATTGAAAGGGGGGTCTCAAATTGTACTCCAATGATGATGATTTCTCCCCAGACTCGTTTTAATGAAAGGTTCACAGAGTTAATCATCAATATGTCACAAAAAAATGTTAAACAAACGTTGAGAGAAAAGTTCGTGTTTATAAAAACGGTCTATAGAATTCGTGGGACTTTCTCCTCAAGTAAAAACCTTTAAAATTTTTTTGAAAACACAATTTTATTAATTAAACCATTTTTGTTCAACTTAGATAAAAAAATCATAGTTAAAAATGAAAATCTTTAATTCTTAAATCATTAATAGTTAAAAAAATAAACGAAGCGTAAATAACCCATTAGTGACGAGACCATTAACTATTAGTGAAGTTGTTTTAGAAGGATCTTGTCAAAACAAAACTTGATTATACTCATGAAAAAACGATGTTGAATTAAATTTTTGAATTTTTTGTACAGGGTGACCTGTAAAACATGAATATCTAAAAAACTTTGGTAATTCATAATTATTTAATGATATTCAAAACTTTACTTTTCATGTTTTAGGTATTTAGATCTTTAAAAAAAGATTCCAAAAAAATAAATTTTTTCTAGCAAAAAAATTGACAATTTTATAGATTCAAAACTAAATTACAGAGTGTTCTTTTGGTTTTTTTCCGAATTCAAAATCTTTTTTTGGGGGGTTTTTTAAAATTGAAAATTTAATAGAAACCCAAATTTTGAAGTTACTTCAAATAAAAAATATGTTTTGAAAAGAGGGAATCCTAAGGAAAGCGCAGGAAAATACAGGACAACATTTAGTTTAAGAAAAAGGCACTTAAAAAAAAATCTCACCCGGTCAAAATAGACCTTCTCGTCAGTAATGGGATAAGAGAGATAAATAAATGAAAATTTCCTTTCAATTGTTAAAAGAAGAACTTTTAGGTGAATGTAAATTTATTAAACAACCCTTCTACAATAGTTGAACAGGATTAATTTATCATCAAGTTTAATCAATAATTCTTTGTCACAAATAACCTTGCTTTTGTAAACCTTTTCTATCGGCTAGTTGGACTTATCACTATCATTTGTAAAATTGTATTACAGGGTCTCTTAATATTTAAACATGGTAATTTTGAACTGTAAACTCCGGTTCTTTGAAAATACAGGGTATAGGTAGAGCAAGATAATAGCAAGACTCAACTTAAGGGACGTTTTAGAGCTCAGAAAAAAATGCAGCCTTAACCTTATTTTAGAAATAAATTCTAGAGATTATAAACACAACGGTAGTCATGACATTTCCAAAATGTAATCTGCCTTTACTGTTATTTGGGTCACCCTGTATATTTTTCTAAAACTATCGGAGTGGTAACCCCAACCTGAAACCAAAATAGAATCTTAGATAAATGAATGAACTTATTCTGTAATTTGTGGTTTGGTTTCTTCATAAGCATAAAACTACAAATTCGTCAATTGTTGCGTTTTATTATTATTGGTTTGTTCCAAATAAACAAAATTGGTAAAATAATCTAGATTTTAGAACAAATATAGGGACTAGATAAAATGCACTATTGGAAATAAAACATTGAAAATGAAGGGAAATAAAACATTTAAAAATAAGGGAACATAATTAAATATTTTAAGGATATTGGGTCGAGCAAATATTTGATTAAAGGGCAACGAACTTGAGGTTTTAGAGAATTGTGTTAATTAAGATAAATTACTCTGGATGCGCTCCAATGTACTAATAATGTCGTCTCCATAACAATGGATACATAGATATACAAGTATTTAGATCGCTAATGCAGACCACAGACTAGACAGACTGCTTATACACTCTACCTGGATAGGCTGAGCAGGCCTATAGTGTCCCGGCACGCCATGCTACGGTTCCACGGAATGTTTTTGACTGACATCTAACGGCCACTTGTTGCATTCAGGGGTTAAGTTTTACAGCTTTTAAAGAAATACTCCTATTTAAAAAATAAAACATTACGTTTATGAATATTGTCTATTTTTAAAGATTTTGCATTTCCTATTCAAAGGATCCTTAAATATCCCTGAATACAGATGTTTGCTGATTGGTCGTGTACAGTACTTGTACAAAATAGACCAAGCTGTGGAAAATATCGCATATTATAGGTATAAATCGATCTCTGTAACTCTGTTATCTCTGAAGCAGACTGTAAAGCTGAAAACTTTACAACCCCTTGTACACCATGAACTCGTCATTTGAAAAGGTCATTGAATACGTTTTACTTCTCGGGGTGCAAATCTGTAGAGTATTTTTTTTTACTTATTAATTTTAAAGAAGTTTAATAAAAACTAGGCTTTTCCCATTAACTATTTTAGCTTTAAACCCTAAACAGGCTTGGCCGGCCCTATAGTTTTTTTAGTCCTAGCACTTCCATTTTTGTCAATTATTACCGTGAAATTTTGTGACTTTTAATGAATAGTTAATCTAAAGGATTTGTTTGTCAATTTTTTTTAATGCATAGGGTAGGGTACATGGCGGTAAAAAGTCCGGTCTGTGTAAAAAAAAAATATGAAATGGCCTATAACTTGTTTGTTGCTGGCCCTCTGGAAACAGCTTTTCAGGTACAGTGTGTTACACAAAACATGATATTTTTATTTTAAAAACTAATTTCAGGATTTTGTGGGGCAATCTTTTCTTCTTGGTCTCAGTTACATGGCTTTCCATCATATCCAACATCTAATATCATTATTTAGAAACAGTCAGAAACAACAAAAATTATAAAAATTGTTTAAATGAATATAAATAAAAATAAACTTTTCCGATAAACTCTTGTAAAAACATTGATACAAACTGTTAACAACTAAATAATTGTTCGAATTTTTATTGTTTATAAAAATTATCTCATGCCTTGTAGTCTTTACTTCAATCATCTCATTCTGTTTAGTCTTTGTTTGCTTTTTAGTCATTATCTAAATTATTATCTTAAGCTTTGCAGTCTTTATTTTAATTATCTTAAGCTTTGCAGTCTTTATTTTAAGTAACCCAAGCTTTGTTGTCGTCATTTTAATTATCTCAAACATTGTTGTCTTCATTTTAATTATTTCAAGCTTTGCAGTCTTTATTTTAATTATCTCAAGGTTTGTTGTCTTTATTATAACTACAGTAAAACCCTTAACAACGAATACATCGGAAGAATTTATCAAATGTCGTCTTGAAAAATTTTCAATGAGTTTTATACTATATTACGTAAATTTCAGTATTTGCGAAAATAAATAAATAGCCATGAATATGCGGGAACAGTTTTAAAAAGCTTAATATAATCGTTTCATGAAAAAACTAAATATCTGCAACATTCCATTATCACAAAGTGAAGAATACGAAATTTGATGAATTCTTTCGATTTATTCGTTATTAAGGGTTTCACTGAATATTAAGTTTTGTAGTATTTATTTTTATTATCTCAAGCTTTTCATTCTTTATTTTAAGTATCTCAAGCTTTTTAGTCTTTATTTTAATTATCTCAAGGTTTGTATAGTCTTTATTTTGATTATCTCAAGCTTTGTAGTCATTATTTTAACTAAATTAAGGTTTGTACTATTTATTTTTATTATCTCAAGCTTTGCATCCTTTATTTTAAGTATCTCAAGCTTTGTAGTCTTTATTTTGAGTATCTCGAGGTTTGTAGTTTTCATTTTAATTATCTCAAGCTTTGTAGTCTTTATTTTAATTATCTCAAGCGCTTTAAGTATCTCAAGGTTATTAAGTATCTTAAGGTTTGTAGTCCTTATTTAAAAATCTGAAATTCTGCAGGAAAATTAATATTGGTTTCACTTTTTAAAAAAACCTTTACATTCAGATGTATTCTTAATGTCGTCTTAATTTTTATTATCTCGAAAATAAGGGGTGGCCAAAAAAGCGTTGTAATTAGGGTGGTGACTTAGAGCGCTATTTTTGATCCACAATTAACCTTTTTATTCAAAATATTTTAAATTTTTATAACAAGCATAATTGTCGGGTAACTAGGGTTGTTAATCGTTTTTGTAAACGGTTAAACGATCGTTTTTTGTTTCGTTTTCAAAAACGATCGTTTCGTTTTCAGATTAAAACGATCGTTTTTAAAAACGACCCAGTCGTTTTGAACTTTTAGAAAACGAATAGCGATCGTTTTTGAAAACGATAGTTCTTATTAAAACGATTTGCGATCGTTTTTATACGATTGTATTTAAAAAAACGATCGTTTTTGAAAAAACGATCGTTTTTTAATTTTTTTTTATTGACAATTATGTTAACGATTGGGTCGTCGTTAACGATCGTTAACGAAGGGTCGTCGTTAACGATCGTTAACGAAGGTTGTCGTTAACGATCGTTACAAAACGACGAATTTCATAAAAACGATCGTTTTGAAAAACGATCGTTTCAAAAACGACCCTTTTTAAAAAAACGAACTTTTTAAAAAAACGATCGTTTTTAAAAACTATCGTTTCGTTTTCGATTTTTCGTCGTCATTATCATAACGAAACGATCGTTTTTCTGAAAAAGGAAAACGTTAACATCCCTACGGGTAACAAACAAAATTTCTCAATTAGTTTTTAGATCTACAGGGTGTCCCACGAAACAGGACAGTTAGTGAATAGTTAAAAGTATTCTTCCATAATTTGTTAAGTTGTTAGATACCAAAGAGATTAATTAAAAATATTATCTGTCAGTAATATTGTATTAAAATTGATTTCAAAGTAAACTATATTTGAGCAAAAAAATTTTACAAGAAATAAAACTGCAAAATAACTGTAAAGTCTAATACAGTTTATGGAGGAAGACATTCAAAACTATTCACCAACTGTCCTGTTTCGTGGGACACCCTGTATGTCGCAAAAATATGGGAATTAAATGTCTACTTAAATATCGCCTTTGTTCTAAACGAGATTATTTCGTTACAATGATTTTGTAGTTAACACATTTAACAACGGAAACCACTAGTCTCAGGATTTCCAAAATGTGGTCTACCATTCTTTCACCTTCAAAATTGATGAAAATATTTGGAAATTTGTCCAAATTCCAGTTAATTAAAAATCCACAAAAATGTTCAATTTTAAAGATACAAAGAAGGCAGACCACATTTTGGAAAGCTCCTAAGACGTTCAATCTTTTTCGATGCACTTTATGTCATTTTACAGTATATATCGGAAATCAAAGACTATATTCAAGTTTCTTAATTCCCATGTTTATCCATGTTTTTAATTGGACATCATGTACAGTTTAAAGCTACAGCTATCACAGTTTGGAAAGCTGTTTAGACATAAAGATCTTTTTAATACACATTTGATACTGACTCAACATCAAAGAAGATTAAAAAACTAGATTCCCTAATTAATTAGAAGACCGTATGCATACTATATTATTCGGTATGCTGTCGTTAACATAATCTTACTTTACACATGGATTAATAACAACGCAGATATAGAACACAAGATGTCGATTTTTCAAGAGTTAGGTTTTTTGTTTTGTTTACAATAACCCTGAGGCAGAAGCCAAAAGGAGTCGCTCGCATGCTACGTTTAATTACAAGATAGAGAGAGGGCCTGTTCTACGCCGCATGCGCGTAACTCCTTTGGGCCTCTGACTCAGGGTAATTGTGAACGAAAAACCCCTAAATCTTGATAAGACAACATATAGTGTTACTCTGTTTTGTTATTAATCTATGACTTTACAGATAACAAAAATAGAAATGAAATGAAATTTTATCATCTTCGCAAATCCTCAAATCTTCCAATTTAATGTATCCACTCAGAACTCTTGTTTTGTGGATATCGTGATCACTATTTCATCTCGATTGTTTCTTAATCTGCAGATCAAATAATCATTATTCTGCGTAAAATTCAAAATTACCCACTGTGAATATTGAGATCGGGATAATGGGAATCCAACATAAACATGATCAGCTCTCAAACAATTTTAAGGCATTGTCGTATAGACCAGATTTTGTTTAAAGAGGATTATCTTCTCTATACGTAAAAACCTCTATATTTTTGTAACCAGAATTATTTCAGTGCATTCACTGATAGAGAAATACAGCTGTGCAATAAAGTTATACAAATCATTTATTTCAAGATAAGACAGAAATAAATGATAACGACCTTTCCAAGGAGGTTGTGCAGGTTGACATCTCTAATGCTTCTATACTCCGAGCTCTCAGGACGCAGAGAGACGAAGTATGAAGGGGGGGGAGGGTGAGAGAGGAACGCTCACTCTACCACTACCAGCGATTCTAAATAATAGAATAAATATGAATTTGTTTGTTTCTTGTTAGAGAGTAATGGTTTTTGAATGGACCTGTATTTACTATCGAACTCAGCGCTATAAAACTTATAATAGTGAATAGAAATATAGACTTTCGAATATGTTTTCATGAGAAGATGAGCGAGTATATCAGATAATTGTATACCTGAATATTAATTCTGATGTAAGAGTTGCAGCGCAGGTTTAGTGCAAACTGAAGTATTTGAATCAGTTTTATTGCTGTACAGTATACACTGTACATATACCGGTTTACAATCAGGATGTATATAATTTATCCTTCTCCAGGGTCCCTGCAGTACAGTAAGGAGCGGGGGGAGAGAGAATATTCACACATTTTGTTCAATTTCTTATGTATTGTACAGCTTGTACAACAGGCATAGCCAAGTTGTTAATTATAACTTATACACTCAATTAAAAAGAAATACCAATACTGAAACGGGATGAAAGTAAAATATATTAATTTGTAAAACAGCATGGCATACAGGGTGTCTCACGAAACATGACAGTTGGTGAATAGTTTTGAATGTATTCTTCCCTATACTTTATTAGATATTGAAGACTTTTTGTAGTTTATTTTGTTTTAAAAATCTTTTACTCAAATATATCTTACTTTGAAATCAAGTTTACTGTAAGATAACTCTCATACAATATTTTTATTATTCTCTTTGGTATCAACCAACTTTACAAATTATGGAAGAAGACATTTTTAACCATTCACCAACTGTCATGTTTCGTGGGACACCCTGTAGCTTATTTATTATTCATCTGGTAATGTTGGGGTAAGGTATTTATAACTAAAGGGATCAGATTTTATTTTAGCGAACCAATTTTTAAAAGTCTAACATTTTAGCAATTTTCCCTAAATCAACTTAAAGGGCAAAACTTCTTTTTTCCCTTTAACAAAATACCCCGAGGCTGACCCGGTTTTGGGGAATTTTAGACTTGGCTTAAATTCATTAAATTCCGACACCGGTTATTTGATATTGCTCTACAATTAATTATTTACAGAGTTGCAATGTTCCTGTATATTTGATTAATGTGCAGTTGGGCATTTCTGCTGGAATAATATCCAAAATTTTTAACAATGGAAAGCCCAGCAAAAGGGTCAGTTAAAGAAATTGTTCGCGAATATGAAAGTATAAGATCAAGAATATTTTATACTTTTGCCTCTTTATCAGACTAAAATGAAGGAACCCCTGAACAAATTTTTGTATGTATTCGTGGAGGGAAGGGTTGTTAAGCAGCCAGGAGCCCCGCGAAATGACCTCCGGAGCCTCCTGATCTGCAGAATGACCTCCAAGTCCAGCAAAACCATCTCTGTGCCTCTTGCTGCGTCTTAAAGACTCGGTCAGTCTGTCTCCGCGCCACGCACTTTGATCTCCGCTTGCTGTTTTTATTTTGTATTTATATTTTATGGATTAACCAACTAAAAATTAAAATATATCTCTTCATAGTAAAATCCATAATCAATTTGTTTTGATAATTATGCATCTGGCATCAATATAAAAGATGAAAATCTTTCTTTACTGCCGCCTTTAGAAGTTATATTTAAAAATATTAGATGAATTCTATGCTTTTATACCAAATATTTGGATTTTTTTTGTGAAAACGCGGATAATTCGTATATTACTTGAATTTTTATTAATTATAAGTCCTTGATCATTGATCCTTGATCTTTGAAAGGTTTAAAGGGTTCTATTGTGAATCTGGACTAGAGTCTTGACTTCTAGGAAATTACGCTTACAATCCTAGAAACTCTTAAATGTTTTCAATCATAACTCCTGTTTTTGACAAGCTATGGGGAAGAACAAAAATGTTTTATAATGTTCTGCAGCTTTATATAATATTTTTTCTCTATTGTTGCGAACTTTCTGGTGTTCCGTATTGTTGGGCGAACTTTCTCTTTTTACCATTTCTATTTGATCCGCCGATACATTAGCACTTTATAATTTAGTATGAACATTGCTGCCGAAAGGGAAAGGATTCATGTAGCGCTATTTGCTTTTTTATTTGGATCAGCTGCGTCAACTACTCTTTTTTAACTTCTCAGAGCTGAAAACTTTAGACTGGTGGATATCGAGATAAATGCTTGATCCTCTCTTTTTGTTAATATCGAGACTAACCTAATCTTGTACTTGTATCCTGAAAAGTGTATAAAATTTAACCAATCAGAGTCGCGTATATGAAGCCGATAAATTTGAAATTTTGCGTGCCATTTAACATTAATATACAGAAACGGAAGGACTCTCTAATAGAGAAAAATCGGTTTTTGATTTTTCTCTACTTTAGAACGGTCTAAGAAGAAAATCAAAAGTGTGTTCATTGGATACTCAGATTAAGTAATCGGGATTAAGGATATCTCATTTTAAAGTTTTCAGCTCAGGTCAAATAAGTATTTTTCCTAACAAACTATCTCAGATGGTAGAAATTTATAAAGCTTTTTAAAAAATATATATTGAATATAATGTTCCGCCGAAAATATTCCTTTAACAAAAATGTGTTCGTTAACCACATAAATTCCAAGAGATAAGTGCTCTTGTCTCCCTCATTCATTGATTAATATCAGTCATCATTATATTTTTGATCAATACAGTATATTTTACATAGATGAATTTTTAGATTTGAAGGGTGTGTAGATTTTAAAATCAAGCCTGTAAGGGCCTTAGTGATATAATTTCTTTTTAAATGGCGAGCTCTTTAAGAATCGTTATAAGGAAATAGCAAATCAAAACATATTAAAAATAGGATTGAATAAAATATATCAAAATGGGTAGAAAAAATGTATCTCTAGCCACTGAATACTGTACACATGTTTTAAAAATATTTATGAAATTATTTGATTTATGACCAAAAAAAGGGGTTTTTATGGGAGGTCAAACCTTATAGAAATCCAACGTATAGAAACTGCTACATAAAGCAACATGGGGTATTTTCCGGGAGAACATTTTTTATATTTTTGAGAAATTAAACGTTTTCGTTAAAACATTGTAGCTTATCATTATCATTATTAACTGGTTTAGTCTCCTAACTGGTTTAGTCTCCTAACTGGTTTAGTCTCCTAACTGGTTTAGTCTCCTAACTGGTTTAGTCTCCTAACTGGTTTAACAATTGAACAAATCCCTGTTAAAACTTAAAAGTAAAAAAACTACCCGCCCTAGTATAGAGGTGCCCCCCTAGGGTGCCCCTAAAACTACCCGCCCTAGTATAGAGGTGCCCCCCTAGGGTGCCCCTAAAAAATCCCAGATTTACAACATATTTTTTTATGAAGCATTGGGTAAAACTAGCTCAAATACGAAATTTTAGAATTTTAAAATAATTTTTCTAAATGGCCTAGCCATTATGGTGTTTTTCCCGCCATCTTGGGCTTTTTTCGACGATTCTCGGCTAAATAGTTTATCTCGGTCAATTTTGGAAATCGCTTAACTTCGTATTTACAATATTTGTCAGAGTATTTTCCAATATTTGGCTTTTTGATGGTCAAATATGATCAGAAGTAGGTTTTGTTTACACCTTTCTTTAGCTTAATATCTGAAGCTAATTTTTTTTTCACACTCAATTCAAATACTAGATAAAAATATTTGAGAAATTAGAATTGGTCAAAAAAATGTTTTATTGACAAAGGAATTAAGTGCTGTCCACAAACTATGATTTTCTAATCTCTATATCTTTGTAACCCAATGTCGTAGACCTTAGATAGTTCAAACTATTAATACTTACAGATAAATTAATCTAAGTTTGAAATATGAAAGGTTTGCACCATCAGGTTGGAAAATATTGGGATCAGAAGATCTGAGTTTGTGGCAAAAACTCAATTCCTTTAGAGCCGCATGTGATTGGCAAAAAAATATTTATAAACCGTTTTCGGCCTAATTTTCTCCGTAACTCCACTTGTTTGGCCAACTGATGCAACTTTAAAAAAAAATATTTTCACAAAAAGATGCCCTTATATGTTAGATGTTAAGATTTCACGGACATTTTTCTGATATCTTTATAAACGGCATTATAACCTTTAATACAAGGTAAGTTATTTCAGAGGTGTACGCATCTTTTGTACTACAGTGTACTGTCTCATGGGCGGTAATGTAAACACAAGACGGACGTCAAAGCCTGACATGGGATCCATCTTTCACATACAAAATCCATGAAATATTCTGGTCATAGGAAACTATTATGTGAATTATCAAAATTATCAAAATGTACTTGCAATGCTTTTAACCTCCTTGGATACTAAACGAACACTGAGGCATCTATTCTTGTTTACAAATTCCGCCCAAATAGAACTGTTTTCAATATGTACGCAGAGTATACACGACTTCAATTAACTTTCCTTGCATTAGTACCTTGTTCGAACCATTTTTTATTTACTGATTTCCAAGAAAAAAAAAACCTTAGATAAATCAGTTTCCGGAACGATTATTCCATATGTGACGTTAAAATGGAATTCGACCCGTAAACCCTTATCAGTATTTCACACACAGTCAAGGTTGTATAATAAGGTTGTTTACTCTCGATGCGCTGCATTGTACGGAAAATGTCGTCTCCTAAGCTGATAGATAGACAAAATCTGTCATGACGTCACTATCGAATCTTTATTCAGTGACGACATATGATGTGTTTTTATCTATCTAACTTAAAAGACGACATTTTCCGTACATTGGAGCATTTGAGGGCATCAAGAAAAACTAACTGTTACATCGTTATTGTTTATTATTCTAAACAACTGCAGGGTCTAAATTGATCCAAAAAAAAAATGGAAACCATTATTTGAATTATATTTTTCAGGTTTAAAGGAATATGTGGAATAAAGGATTAAAGATTGTGGGTTCCCTATTATTCTTTAGTTGTATTTTAATCTTTACTCTAGAAGCAGGTATAATTTTGAGACTTTTTTATCATTTTTACCACATGGACTAGATATGAATTATTACTACATCAGTAAACCCATTTACATTTTGCTTATAACATATATCTTTTCTAATGAATGACCTTTACACGGCCTGATCCATTAGGATTAGCGTCATCATTTAAGGATTTTGCAGTTTTTTGTGTTGATGGAATTCAAAAATATTAATAGTAAAAAATTGTGACGTTACAAGACAGGAATCTATGTAAGAAAGTCACAGGAAAAGTTTCTGAAAAAATACCAGTAAATAAAAACTTTGGTAAAAAAGTCCCATTTTTTTCTGAAGTCCTATGACAAAATGTCACCGGAAATTAAGTCCCGAGTTTTAGATTCCTGGGACTTCTTTAAATAGAAATAATATGAAGGCTGCCAAAAAGTCTCAGGAAATAATATCACAGGAAAAGAAAAAAAATCATATATTTCTTGGGAAAATGAGGTTAAGTCTTAAACATTTTCATAAAACGGACTATGCATCTGCATATTGAATATACCCATTACCCAGAGGTGTTTGCAATATCAGGCCCCTTTTTACACGGTTGTAAACGTCCTTTGTTTCAATAAATTTTCAACTGTAAAAGGACTTTTTTCCGGAGGCTTTTTTTTACAATATCATACTGGAAGTCTCAAAATGGCAGGACTTCATGTCCAGAGACTTTTTATTTCAAGGACTGTTTTCCACAGGACTTTTTTAGCGCCCAAATTCAGGACTTTATTTCCGGAAACTTTTTTTGGGAGTTACCATAAGGTAGATTGACACACAAAAAAAACAAGCCAATTATTTAAATGAATGCGATAAAGCAACGTTTGTAAATGTAAACTAAATTATTCTCTCCAATACGAACATGCGTAAAATTATGAAATCTTAGAAAATCACAATAAAAAGTATTATGCCGTAAATTCTAGGTTATAACGAATGGTTTATTGAATGGTATAGAATGAAGGTATATTTGGTTGATTCTGATTGCAAAGTTTCAGGTAACCCCTAAATTATTCATGTGGCATGCCAACATTGTTAACTTTAAAATTTTGCATAAATCATGACTTTTAACATGCAAAACAAAGAAACAAAGAAACATGTTCACTGTGAACTCATGTACATTTTAAAGTGCTGGGCCGACCTTTTCCCAGTTATAGCAAGCTGGGCAGTGTACAGTAAACATTTGGCTTTTTAATAATAACAAAACATTTCAATTAAATAGATTTAAGGAGAACGATTAGAGATCAGGGTGAGAATTTATCTTATGCAAAATAGTTTATACATTAATTCGAATAACTAGAGTTTAAAGTAATTTTCTGACATGTACACAACAAATATCAAAGCATATTAAAACAAATCTAATTAGTTTTACATGAATAGCATTTCGGTTTATAACACATTGTATTTTTACCAAAGGTTGCAATAATATAAGGGTTAAAAAATAATATAATCAGGCCCCTGGACAAATGAGTGTCGACTTTAAATCGTCTTCGTTCATAAAAAAGATATGTATCATACATCCAAACATTGCAGTTTTTTACTAGTTTGGGAACCCAGCTTTGCCCGGAGATTTCTCTTTAAATTAAACCCACTCAACTTAAACCAGGCTAAGAACGTTACTAGGGTCTCCAATCAAAATTTGAGGCAAATTGGTCAAGACTCAAGGGGTTTAAGAGCTATAATTAAACATGCAAACAGACAAAAACAGATTACCTCTTAACAGGAATAGATAAACCTAAATTTCAGAATTCAGAGTTTTGGTTTTTTTCAGATCCCAGAGTAAATTTAACAAGACTCAACATTTCCCAAACCAACCCTAGAACAGCTGTGATTGGGTATATTTAATCATTATAGTTCTAATAAAAGTTTTAACAATGACTATAATAATAATAACTATATAAACAATGATTATAATGATTTTTGTAAATAATAATAGCTGTAAGAATGATAACAATGATAATAATGATAGTTTAAATAAATACAATCTAGAGGGAATGTTCTCGATGTAAATTTTAACATTACAATGGAACCTGAAGAAGAGTATTGTGTACCAAAGTAAATATTTTTCAATTAAAAAATCGATTTTGTTTCTTGTTTAATTTTTAATTTCGATAATTTTTATTATTATTTTTCTTCAAAATCAGATAATATTAAAAATATGTTCAAAAAATCTTTCTTTTTTTCCAAGGATGATAGAACCCAAATATTTGTATTTTCAAAATAGAACGTGTAAGTTATTTAAATGAATTTCATTTAGAATTCTGAACTTTATTTGGTTTGGTGACATTATTCCGGTTAAATACCAAGATAACATTATTAGGTGCGCGAATATTAACCAAGATTATCCTAATACTCCTCTTTAAAATCTAAAAACTGATCCACGCCAAAAATGTTAATTTGGCTCAAACTCAACTAAATTTCTAAAAAAGAAAAGATAAAATTATAAATCTGAAGTTAAAGGGACTGCCAGCGTAATCTACACAAATTCACAAAGATTCCCTTTAAACCTTTAACTGATCATCGAGGACAGAGATCTCATTGTATATCTCTTAAATGCTGTATAAAAAGCCATAAGCATGTGAGTGTACGCTGTTTGTAAACTCAAAAAGGATGGCGTCAAATTTCTGGAAAACCAAGAATATTTTAATCCAACGAGGTTTTTATTAATTCAAACATTTGAATATTTAAATTCTTTTAGAAAGTAAATATATAAATATTTCTTTAATAAGACAAAGTGCAAATAATGGATTCAACAGTTTATGTATATAAATTAGAAAACGTCTGTCATCATCGCGGTCAAAGGTTTAAAGGGTATCATTGAATGAAAGGTTCCTTGTAATTGCGCGTACAGTCCCTTTAAACTAACTTTATACAAGGTTGCTGTATATAGGATGATGCTTTAATGACGACCTGAAACTCTAAAAATATAAAGGTTGGTTTTGTTTAATTAGTAAATTAAATTCGAAAAGAAGAAACCAGTGTGAGAGCTGAACGGATATTTTAGAAAACATATCAATAAAATCTGAACAATCGTTTCTAAAGTCTCATCCTTTATGGGTAACCCTGTACATAACTTCATTACAAAATATCCTGTAAAATGTACAACCTATAGAACCCATGGAACTTTGTACCTTATAAGACATCTATGATATAAAAATCTTTGGTGTACTGTATAACTTGTCCGATCCTAAATTTGTTAAGGTTATTGATTCTAATTATACCAATACGGTATTGTTTATTATATTTATTAATAATTCAACACTGAGTTTTATAACAAACAATTAAATAGAAATAATATTTAGGTCAGACTCTGGACTGAAAATATTACTGAAGAATTGAGAACAAATATATCTTTAATCAAAATTTTTGATATAAATGAGTGAGTTGTTTTTATTCATTTTTTAATAACCACTGTACCTCACAGTACAGTACAGTTCTGCACTGTACTGTAATTACATGAATTTTATTATTAGGCGATAATTCATTTGGCGCATTGTCCCGTTTTGCCTCATATAGTCTGTATTTTTACTGTTCAGCTGGGGCTAGTTGAAATTCGACCCGGTACATGAAATGAATTGGAGTGTATAGTGTACTGTACTGTACTGTACTGTACTGGACATTTATCATTGGCCAATTCATTAATTATATTAACCCGTAGATTTGCATAAGATGGAGATCAATGCTTGATCATGAGATTCACAATACAAATATTTTTAATTCTGGGATCGAACTTAAAGAATTGGAAAGGACGCTAGGCTACCTAACACCGGTTGATTCCTTTAACTTTAAAATTCTGATTCAAAATTAAAACTTAGGTAGTTTAGCGACCTAGTTCAAATTCTTTAATTCTTCAGTCCCTGGTTATGTTTAATCTCTGTAAAGGTACATATCAGAGTTTGAAACGTATGAGGTGTTAAAAAACGAGAGCAACAAGGGGGCAAAATCAGATATTCTNATACCAGGTAAAATCAGATATTCTCAGAAACCAGGTAAAATCAGATATTCTCAGATACCAGGAAAAATCAGATATTTTCCTGAAATCAACTTAACAATATCATATTATCTAGATAATTTACAGAAATGGAGGCGTTTATTTTGACACTGATTCAATTTGGTAATTTTTTTACTAAATTACAATTCCACTCCCTCCCGCCCCCAACCCTCTTCTCATGGGTACCCCTGCGACATTTTTTTCAGGAGGCATTATCATTTAATATGATTTTTACAGTTGCTGGCCATATTTCGAGTGAATGTTATAATTCAGTCAATTCTTTAGAGGGTTTAAACTAAAGTGTGAACAAAACTTTGTTTAAACCTTCAGTCAAAAAATTAATTTTATTTTCAAACTTAATACCATACTCTTAAAAGATATTCTCACAATTGAGAAACGAGTTTTACCTCAATGCTTAAGGTAATTTTTTTCATGTGCACCCTCCCCCTCCCTCCCTCCACTACCTCATCCTTAAAAATAAATATTCTAAATAATGTAAATATTTATGTGTCTAATCTGTACTGTCACATTTTATGTACATACTTTCAGTGTGAAACCCCTGCTTGATTTATTGATTGCTAGTTTTGTTATTTTATCCCCCTCACCCTGGAATAATATTTCAAATGGTGCACTGGGCTTTCCTAAGGTCAGTCATGTTGTTTTTTTGTAACTTCCTCTTTACACATTGATAGTATACATTGCTTCACGATATAGGACGTCTCACATGTTACAAAGAAGACATAGCCCTAAAAATATACTTTTGTTGCACTAATGTAGATTTTTCTATTTAATACTTAAAAAATGATATATTTGTCTATATAATTATATAGATTATATAGACACATCTTTAAATTGTATTTTAAATCAAAATATTGGAGAATATTGTGGCATTTTCATGTCTTAAATTAATTATCAAATATCAACAAAAAATGTTCGCGGATTTATCGATTTTTTTTCGTATATTTTGAAAAGTAAAAATTTTTAGGCACAATTTTTTATTTTTCACCATCCATTAAATTTCCATGGGTCCCGGTCGACATGTCAGGTCCCACATAAAATTTGGGCTGGATCGGTTCAGCCGGTTCAGACTTAATTTTTTGGATTCCAAACTTACAAACAGGCGCACACAGACTAGCAAAGTATCTATATAAAAGAAGTTTTCCTTAAATCTTTAAAGAGAAAACCAAATAGAAATTTAATTAAATCATGTTGAATATTAAAAATAACAAAAAATAACATTTTTGCTAAGGGATTATGTTTCTTTCTGATTAACATTTTGATTAATTTTAGGGATCTCGGTTCTTAAAATATGTACTGGATGCTTTAAAACTTAACATAAAAAAGGTGACGATCTTTTTTTTGTAAAATTATTCTATTTCTTACTTAGAAAATGAAGAAAAAAAATTAGAACATTAGAACATGAGAACCTTAGAACAATAGAACATTAGAACAATAGAACATTGGAACATTAGAACATTAGAACATAAGAACATTAGAACATTAAAACATTAGAACATAAGAACATTGGAACATTAGAACATAAGAACATTAGAACATTAGAACATTAGAATATTAGAACATGAAAACATTGGAACATTAGAATATTAGAACATTAGAACATTAGAACATTAGAACATTAGAACATTAGAACACTAGAACATTAGAACATTAGAACATAAGAACATTAGAACATTAGAACATTAGAATATTAGAACATTAGAACATTGGAACATTAAGATATTAGAACATTAGAACATTAGGATATTAAATCTTGTGATTCCAGGACCCTGAAGCTTACATTCCATATAGAACTGGTCCTGCTTTCTTTTCTGGATGTTTTGTAAGTTTCCAGATTTTGTTAACATGTTAATTATTTTACTTGATCTTTAAATATTTTATAGTTAAAATATGTTTAGAGAAACTACAATATATATGCTATAAATATGATATGTTTAGAGAAACTAAAATATATATGCTATAAATATGATATGTTTAGAAAAACTACAATGACTCTGTTATTAATATAATATGTTTAGAGAAACTACAATATATATGCTATAAATATGATATGTTTAGAGAAACTAGATCATATCTGCTGTAAATATGATATGCTTAGAGAAACTACAATGACTCTGTTATCAATATGATATGTTTAGAGAAACTACAATGACTCTGTTACCAATATAATATGTTTAGAGAAACTACAATTTATCTGCTATAAATATGATATGTTTAGAGAAACTACAATGACTTTGTTATCAATATAATATGTTTAGAGAAACTACAATTTATCTGCTATAAATATGATATGTTTAGAGAAACTAGATCATATCTGCTATAGGTATTATATGTTTAGAGAAACTATAACATATCTGCTATAAATAATAAATATTACTAGAAAAAATATTTTATGAATATTATGTTTTGAGAAACTACAGCATTTATATATAAATTTGGCTTGTCTGTCTGTTTGTTTGTTTTGTTTGTCTGTCTGTTTTTATCCAATAAACGTCAAAACGGCTGAACTGATTGGGCCCAAATTTTTTGTGGGACATCACGTGACCACAGGGAAGGTTTATGAATGATCAAAATTTCAAATATTTGTCTCCATCAAAATTCGATCTTCATTAATTTTGAAATTAATGAAATTTTGAAAATCCACGAAATTTTTGTGAAAATCCGCGAATTATTTTTGTTTTGTTTTACGATGTAAACAAAGAGAACATGTTCACAATTAGTTTAGAAGATGGGCGCGAAGCGCCCTATAAGGCTAGTATCTGTATAAATATTGTATGTTAATAGAGCAACTACAACATATCTGATATGAACATGATATATTTAGAGAAACTACAGTATATCTGTAATAAATATGATATGTTTAGAGCCCGTCAGGACATTTGTTGGAAAATGACGCTAGATTCTGATGTGTGTATTTTGCTTAGTCAACTACACTGATCATTGTTATTAGGTGCAGTACGTGGAAAAGGGATATGAAAATAAACCAACATTTCGTGGGGGGGGGGGGTTGTTCATGGTCTATTTGGGTTATAAAAAGAATTGTAGCTTTTTCTTCATAAATATAATCTGGTATAAATATCTATATAGCTAAATGTGCCCATTAGTAAATACATAAATCATGTATTTCAATTAACCCAATCAATAGTTGTAGATATATATAACTCCGTCATACCCATATTGTGATTTTTAACTATGTAATGTATACCTTGTAATTAAAGACCCAATGTCAATCTAAAATGAAGAAACATTGAAAATTGATACAGAGACAATTACAGTGTTGAGAGTAATTTGGTTTTGCTGAAATATATACAAATTGAGATCGTTGACTTGAGTTATGGAATTGATAGTTACGAGCTAGTGCCTAGAGGACATCGATAGCTTACAAGATCGCGCCCATTGGTGGTTGCGTTGATAAGTCAGGGGATTGTAGCCGTGTGGATCTTGTCCTGTTTGAGGCTTTGATAGTTCACTGGATTATAGCCATGTGTTGACATTGATAGTCAAGAGAATCTAAGTTATATCTGGATAGATACTGGTTAGAGAAATTGTTATGGAGTAGGGAATTTACTATAAAAGTGGTGATAGTGGTTGGGTTAAGGAACACTAGTTAAATTTCAAAGACTCTAAGGAACAATAAAGCAACAAGTTGTGGACAGGGTAAACAGAGTGTGACAATGGACAGTTTTAAATTGTACCCTAGAGTACCTGCAGTAAAGAATCAGACACCAGAATACCAAAAATGAAGGAATCCGGAAAAGCGGGTGGAAACCTTCTATACAAGGAATTGGAAGTCATGAAGCAGAGGTTGGAACAAGATTTAAAAACAATGGTAAAGATTGCAAGAGTGAAAGGAATGTTGGAGCAGAACAAGAAGATGGATAAATCAGAACAATGTATGGAACAGCCACAGAGAGTAGTGGAAACAGGGGAAGCAAAAGAGGATACACACAACAAGATGTGTGATATCGTAAATAGTACAAGAGAAAGGGTACAGGGCTTCAATGAAAGAGCTTTAAAATATGCTGGAAATCCTGAGATAATGGTGCTCAAACTTGGAAACTCATCTGATTAACAATGAATGGGAAACAATCCCAAATGAAGCAGTAAAAAGGATGCTGCGGTCCTGCTTCACCAAAGCAGCTAGAAAAGAGATAGTGCTGTTTCATCCAACAGGGTTAGTATTTAAGAACTATGGAACAAGAGATTTTTACAGAAATGTTGAAAAGGATCTCACCCATTTCAGAACTATGAAACAGGAGATTTTTTTGTAGAAATGATGAAAAGATTCTCACAACAAAAATATGATGATAGCAAGAGACTGGAATACCTAGACAAGAAACAGAGAGAAAATGAAGAGACCAGAAGAGCTCATGCAGACAAGATGAAACGAAAACAGGAATACCTGGACAGGAAAAAGGAAATGGTTGAAGAGAATATTATGCTGCCAAGGAAGATTTATGGTTACAAGCATCAGTTAGTAGACAAGCCGTGTACCTTAAGAAACAAGAGAATGATAGATAAAACATTAACAGAAACGATGAATTATGTATAAGAATCACATAAGATCATGAGAAACATCAAGATCAACCATCTGCAATACACAGCCTAAATCTAGAGAAGCATCAAGATCAAGAGAATGATCATCAAGTTCAGGAGAAGAATTAAGATCAAGAGAATAAGCATCAAGATCAGGAGAAGAATCAAGATCAAGAGAAACATCAAGATCAAGAAAATATCAAAAGCAAGTACGCTACACATCGACAAACATGTTTAGTATAAACACAGAAAAACAAATACCTACAGTGGAAACAAGTCGAAAGAAAGGAATCAAGACCAAGAGAACAAGATAAAAGAAGAGGAATTGCTGAACCAAGGAAGTTAGTAAAGGAGAGAAAAATCAACAATAGAATGAAGGCTGAGAGAAAAGGAAATTTAAAAAGTTCAAGCTGAGGATATGGAAAATAAGCAGGGAGAATGATGCAAAGAGCTAATTTTTAAAATCCAACACATGTAATTATTATACAGTGAAACCCTTAATAACGAATACATCGGAACAATTTATCAAATGTTGTCTTGAAAATTTTTCAATGAGTTTTATACTATATGACGTAAATTTCAGTATTTACGAAAATAAATAAATAGCCATGAATATGCGGCAATAGTTTTGAAGAGTTCCATATAATTTTAATTAAAAAACTAAATATCTCCAACATTCCATTATCAGAGAGTGAAGAATATGACATTTGATGAATTCTTTCGATGTATTCGTTATTAAGGGTTTCACTGCAGCAAGAACCAAAGATGTGTATGAAAAATCTACAGCTGTATCCAGAACAATTAAGGAGTTAAACAGACTCAGCAAGGACATTAAGAAAGTTAATCTGGTTCCAGAGAATCAATGGAATGTATGAACATATGGATGTAATAAATCTAGGTCCCGAGATTACTCTACTCAAAGTCTAATTATAGTCTCAATGACTCTATCTCTAGCCAAAATTCAAGGCTCTGTATACGTCCGTATAACACAACGTTTCATGTAGTACTAATTTATTTATATACAGGTAAATCAAACTGACCGGATTGGCCGGTCAGGGTCAACATTGAAATAGATAAGATATATTAATAACATTGATAATAAAGATCGTACTAATCATTACAACAGAAAATGCTACAAATCCCCGGGGGACGTGTCGAGAGTTATCATTCAATGCAATCTTAACGATCTCTCGACATCTTATTTCACCAGCATTAGTCATCAGTCGCTCCAGCTGGATTTGGGTCGGCCCCAGGTCTAGCAACATTGGTGATATCAACGCGTTAAGGAGCAACATCCTAATCTATAACCCCAAGTTGATATCTACGGACACATCCAGCTCCAGGTACTGACTGAATGACATCAAAGAGTTGCAGAACAATATCATTACCTCTAACTCTGTGCTGATCTTGGTGGGCACATTTAGCTCTCGTTCCTCTCACGTTAGACTGTTGGTGTAGAACCTCTAGCATTGATAACTTTCCCTAATGACAGACTCCAGCTAGATTTGTATCTCTGACCATGTAAACATATCCCTCCCTTATATTACAGACTCCTTGGTTTCTGGTTAAGTTACACTCCATTTCATGGGAAGAAAACAGATCTTTTCCTGACATCATGTAGATGGGCATCTGTGGTTGGAGATTGCAGTCGGGTGTATACATCAGAGCCCGTGATTTAAAAACTTCGGCTCGAGCCGTAATTCCTTAAACCCACTTTAAGACCCAATCTTCGACCCAACTATGATGACAGCTTGTGTCACGTGATTGACAGCTGCGAGATCTTAGGCTTGACTTAAGGAGTTAAGCCTAATGAAAATAAAACCGACCTTGGTTGGTTTTAGTGGAGAATAAGGCTCAAAGTTGGGTCTTCTTCTCATCAAAACGCGAAATGCGCCAATTCCAACTATGAAAATCCTCCAAATACAAAATTAAACCGGTTTTATGAACTTAACTCTGTTGAAAATTAGATGCAACCTAAATCCGAAAGCCCGAGCCGTAAATAAGGCTCAACAACAGCTTAGACCCAAGTCGTATTTTCTTGAATTTTTTAAATCACCGGCTCTGATGAGTTAGTTCGCTTCAATCCTTAAAACCCTCCGTAGTTTGATAGAGAGGAACATGAACAGAAGCATTAAACCCGTACAAAACAGAGAGCTACTCCATGACTTGTTACGCCTCCTTGTGTTCCTTGTTGACTGACTGGTAGCTGGAGAGATAAGATTGCTCTGCACCGCTGCCGTACTGGCATGTCCTGGCTGCACTGATAAGGCTGCGATCATTCCTGCC